ATTGATCGTATCTGAGCGCATCACGCTTTTCAAAGGTAATTCGGCGATTTCGAGATAAACAAATCTGATGTCTTATTCGTGTGTCTGACATTTTGAAAACCCCCTATGCATTTGTACGGGGAATACAAGCACCGTAAAAGATTGTCGGAGACAATCAACACAGTCTCAACCAGCCGTTTTCGAGAAATTGCCGCGAATCTCATGAACCTGAGCGAATTTCGATATTTTCGCAGTGTCTGACAAGGAGATAGCGAAGTTTTGCAAGGTGAGCCTGACACCTAGGCTGCATAAACGTCGGTAAACATTAAGTTATTAAGTTGATGGCTCTGAGAAGGCTAGCTACATTGAACGATGAAAAGTAGCGCGTTGTACTTCTGAGGTGTAATGTTTTGAGGATAAGCAGAAAATTCGAAAAGATGTATGACGTACTGTCTAAAAAAGATTTCGTAATTCACAAGATTCCAAGCCTTCAAATCAGCAGCTATACTTACAGTTAAAACACAATCAGTTCTGTAGCCCCAGGGAAGAGTTCAAGGGAATACTTCGTCAAGCAAAGGTGGTTGCCAAGCGCTTTTAATGATACTGCTTATTTCAAGTTCTACGACTCTTCGAAGCCAACAATGGCATCATTCTCCAAAAGGAAAAAGTTCAAGCGAGTTTGCGTATCATAAGCGATAACCCTTCGGATCGATGTTTCCCGCCGCGCAGTTTTTCATGGCAAGAGCGTCGGAACAAACGGCTCGCGTCATACTCACCTATGACCCAGTTCATGCGTGCCAATGAATGCCGACGTGAAGTCGAGGCCTTCGGCCAGCGTGCAGGTGTTCCACGGATCGCACATCCCGTCGAGTCGTGCGATTCCAGAAATGGATCGCGATCCGGCTCCACGGTGGATGTCGTAGCTGAAAATCGAAGCTTAGTCGAAGAGTGTACGTACTCTTTGTCACGACCCCGCTTACCCCGTGAGCATGATGGCGTGGTCCCAATCGCGGATGCCCAGGTTGCGCTGGTAGCGGCAGAAGCGATCCAGGTACATTTGCGCGTTGCCGTGGTTGTGGGTACTGCCGGCTATGGAACTCTAAAAGAAGTTTCTCTCCGAACAACATCTGCTGCGAAATTGAATGACATACCGGTTGACTCGTCAGAACTTCATAGCGAATGACTCGAAACGTCAATGGCGGCGATGCCGACGGTTGATAGTACATGATTTGGATGTTGTTCAACAGGGTCAGCATGTAATCTTGCAACTTTGTATGCGCCTGGTTCCCGTACTTGCTGCTGAAGTGCCTCCAAAGGGTTTCGTCGACGAAGACGGCCAGCTCTACCTGCGGTTAGCAACAAATTACACGAATCTCATCGCTAACATCTACAAGCGAAGTTTATCACAAAACACACCACTAAATCACTCATTTGCTGTAGCCGTTGCCCAGTTACAAAAACATCCTCGAAAATGGCTGAATCATCTTCAGTTAGCTGCTCTTCCGTCACGACATTGTCTAGACCACAGAAATCCGTGACTGGCACCACAGCTTCCCGTTTGAAAACAACATGAACCCCATTTTCTAAATATGGGAAGTATTTGAGTTGGGTCTAACAAACAAAGCAACGAGGTCAGGGTTTATTGTGCTCTAACCGTTCTCAGTGCCTCTTTTGGCTCGGTGGGCGTGCCTGTCAGGAAAAGGATGAATCACATATACGCCCGTGTTGTCAATGATTGTCCCTCTCTGAAAATAATCAACAGGATTGTTTGGGTCGTTTGAAGCCAAATTTCTTCCATAAAAAAA